GGTGAACAGCTTTGGAAAGGGAACTCCAGCACATGCTACAACACGAATGCACCCCGCAGACACCGTGCTCTGAGAAATAAGTCACAAAGGACAGATACCGTATGATCCCACTCGTGTGAGGTCCCCGAAGAAGCAAGTTCACTGAGAGTGAAAGTGGGACGTGAGCGCCGGGAGGGAGGGTGGGAGCGGGGTTTGATGGGCGCGGTTTCTGGCTGGGACGGTGAAAAGGTCCTGCACCTAGATAGCGGTGGTCAGGACACCCGCTGCGAGTGAGCTTCCTGCCGCTGCGTCGAACACTTAAACATGGTTAAGATGGCAGAAATTTCAAGTTATTTGTATTTTACCCCAATAAAGAAAATAATTAGGCCGGAGGGAAGGCGTAAAGCAGCGTGTAAGGTGGTCACTCGGGCTGTCCTTCTATGGAGGAGGGTGGCAGCGTGGCAGCAGTGACGTCACCTCGCTCTGGGACTCTGGAGAGTGGGTGGCTCCGTGGATCAGGGCTGAGGCCGCCCCAGGGGCTGCGGCCAGCCCCCCAGAGCAAGCCTGGCGCTCCCTCCTCAGAGTGAGGCTCTGGGAAGGCGGGGGCCTGGCGGTTTGCTCTGTGGCCCAGGGAGGTGGAGCCTGTCCCCCAGGTCTTTCCCAAGCAGAATCCCGGGCAGCCAGGGTCACTGAAAAAGAGGCAGGCCATGCATGCTGTGTGGTCTTGGATAAGTCACTTAACTTCTCTGAGCTCAAGTATTCCACTTTAAAAAAAATAGGTTTCCTTCTTGTCCTGCTCCCTGCCAAGAGTGCCGTGAGAGGGGCCTTGGGTAGAAGCACGCAGCCTTTCGGTTTGCTGCTAAGAGCCTCCTTTCCTCATTCATAGTATTTGGGGACGTTTGGGTGCAGAACAGAAATTCAGGCGACAGGGCCGTGGGAGTGGGGACGAGGACCCAGCCGGGCAGCGTCCCTGGGGGCGGCCGTGGAGCGAGTCTGACCGTCCCCACGGCCGGGCCGTGGGTGAGCCGGGGACAGCAGAGCCCACCGCTGCCTTCCCGGTACCGGACTCGGGATCCTCGGGCAGGGAGGTCCAGCTCCTGTGTCCAGCGCGCTTTGGAAATGTCCCCCAAGAGCCTTCGCGCCCTGCGGCCGGCGTGGGCCGGACCGTGGCAAACCACGGCGTGCTGTCTCGGGCCCATTCGTTCCCCGCGTGGTCCCGGAGTGTCCCCTCCGCGTGGAAAGCTCCCGAGACGCGTGTTCGGGTGATCCAAGCAGGTCGACTGACGTCCTCGCTGGAGCCCAGGTGTGCGGGGGTAGCACGGATGTGAATCGCGTGTCGCAGAAGTGAGCGTGAAGTTTCAGGGTTGATGAATCCGAAGGAGGTCAGAGGTGGCCCAGCCAGTTCCAACGGCGTTCCAGAACAAAAGAAAAACCCCTCTGCGGGCTCAGCCTCCCCGTTGGTGGAGAGTAGGTCGGTCCAGGATTCGGCACTGTCCAGTGGCGTTGCCATGGGCTACATGTAGCTCTTTAAATTTAAATTAATTAAAATTAAATAGAAATTCAGTCCCTCAGTTGGACTGGCTCAGTTTCAAGTGTCAGAGGTCACATGTGAACACGCTGTGGCAGTTCCTCAAAAAATTAAAAATAGAACTAACTACCATATGATCCTGCAATTCCACTTCTGGGCATAAATTCAAAAGAATTGAAGGCAGCTCTCAGAGATATTTGTACCCTGCGTTTATAGGAGCGTGAGTCACAGTGGCCAACAGGTGGCAACAGCCCACGTGTCCGTGGACAGGTGAATGGACACATGAAGTGTGGTCCGTCCCTACGAGGAATGGCATTCAGCCTTTAAAAGAAGGAAATTCTGGCACATGCTACAACACACGGGTGAACCTTAAGGACGTTATGCTGAGTGGGTGAGCCAGGCACAAAAGGTACGTGCCGCGTGAGCCGCTCACGTGGCCGGAATGGTCAAGTTCACGGAAAGTGGCGTGGTGGTGTCCAGGGGCTGGGGGAGGGTGGGCGGGGAGCTTTTTAATGGGGACAAACTCAGTCTTGGGAGATGAAGAAGTTCTGGAGTTGGTTGCACAATAGCATGAGCGTGCTTAAACCTAAACCGTGCTCTTAAAACAGTTAAGATGTAAATGCTATGACAACTGAAAGGAAGAGTCGCGTGTGCCAGTGGCTACCACGTTGGATGGCGCAGGGCATCGTCACGTGTGGTGCTGCCTGAGCACCCCGGGGTCCGGGGGGCCGGCCCGGAGGGGGCTCTCCGTGGAAAGCAAGCGCTCAGCCGTGTCTGCAAGCACGGGGTCTCTGCTTTTCCCACGTGGGGGTCCTGAAGTTCAGAACCCAAAACCTCCCAGCCCGGGGACGGGCCCCCACGGCTCCCCAGGGAGGGCTGCAGGAATGGGCTGTCACCTGTGCAGACGGCCAGGGGCTTCCCTGCAGCCGAGGAAGGACGGTGCTGTTTTCATTATAGTTTCTCAAGCAGGGCCCCTGGCGGGCAGGATGTTTGGTTTGGTTTGAGTTTGGGCAGCGAGCGCTGGTGCCTGCGGAGGGGCCCAGCCGGAATCCGGGTGACCCTCCCTCTCTCCGGGCTGCAGGGCCTGCTGGGGGGTGAGGGAGAGTTCAGGGGCTGCGCCTTCTGCCCTGGAGGCTGGAGGAGGAGGGGGGCGGGGAGGGGGCGGCCCCGTCCTGGGCAGAAAGGCGCCCAGACCCGCCACAGATGGAAGCAATTGTGGGTCACGTGGGGCGGGCTGAACTGCCGCCCCGCAAGGCAAGGCCCCACGTCTGGCTCCAGGAAGCGGCCCCAAAGCCACATGTTTGAGGGCCAGATGCAGCGCTGTGTGTCTGTTTATTTAAAGATGCTGGAAGCTTGGGGGAGAATATTTCTGAAGGGGGAGAAGCAGATGTCCGGAGCCTTCCAGGGCCGCCTCTTCCCAGCCCGGGGGCGGCAGCTGGCGCCTGGGCCCCTGGCCTCAGGGAGGATTTGTGGACCCCCTTGGCAATTCCTGGCATTTTGTATATGTTGTATTGCTTCACTGCCCCCCAACTCCATGAAGGAGGAATGACGGGTGCCCTGGAGAGGCTGAGAGGATGGGGAGCCCAGGAATTGTCTGCTTGTGAAGATAACCGGCCCCCCACCCCCTTCTGACTTGCCGGCTCAGCCTCCTCTCTTGCCTCCTGCCCTGCCTGCCTGGGCCTCAGGAGGGGAAGGGCGGGGAGGGGAGAGGAGGGGGCAGCGTGCTCCCCCCACACCACCACTCATGGCTTGCACCAGCTGGGGACACAGGGGCTCGGCCACGTGGGCTCAGCTACACGGGCACGTCCCGGGTTGGGATTTCCCCAGGAAGTGGCAGGGCGGTTGGACGGGAGCCTGGAGTGGGTGGCCAGGCAGGGCGAGCTTGGAAGGCTGCGCCCACCCACCCTCCGCCTCCAGGGCCCATGTCCCTGGTCCCTGCTGACATGGGGCTCTGCTTCCCCATGGATGTCCCCGGGGGGTGCCCTGTGGAAGGAGGACCATCTCAGGGACCAGCCACCCCCTTCCCGAGGGTTGGTGGGAGGGCCCGGGCGAGGAGGTGGCAGCGGCACGCTGTGTGGTCCCTTCCTTTGAGCTCGGGGAAGGGAAGAGAGACCTCGAGGTCCTGACCCTCCCAGGAGGCAGGCTGAGCAGAATGGCCCCGTTGGCACGCAGAGGTGCGGGGAGGAGGCAGGCTGAGCAGAATGGCCCCGTTGGCACGCAGAGGTGTGGGGAGAGGCTGGGCCACTGGAGCAGGGAAGGGGCCGGAGGAGCACTGCGGGGAGCTGAGCGGGGCGTGTCGGGCATGCTGAGACGGGGCGTGTGTGCTCTCTAGCCAGACCTCCGTGGGAACTGACACCTCCTGGATGCCTTGAGCACCCGCTGGGTGGAGCCCCTCGGGTCTCCCGTGGGCACTTCCTGGGGGTCCTGCCCCAGCCCCAGGCCTCCTACCAGCAGGTGGACTTCTGAGGGCAGAAGGAGGGGGGACTCTTGCTTCTGACCTGCAGACGGAAGAAGCTCCAGTTATTTTGAGAAGTTCAGCCCCGCTGCCCATACACAGGCCTGAAAGCAAAACCTGGTCCTTACCGGCCGGTGTGCGGCGCCCGGGTACCAGGCAGGAAGGCAGAGGCAGTGCTGGGCCCCCTCTCACCTGCCATCCCCCCGGGGACAGCTCTGTGTCCAGGCGCCGCGCCTTCCACCCGAGCACTCCGGCCTGCCCCCGGGACTTGGTGGGTTACTCGGGATTGAATGCACAGCCCGACTGGGACATGGTAGGAGGGGACAGGTGCTGCTTCCGTTCCCCCTTTCACCAGAGGGCAGATGCGAGACCGTCCCTCCCCTGTGTCCTGGCTCACGGGGGCCTCTAAGGCCTTTGAGCTGCGGCAGGTGTTGCAGCTTACCTGAGTCAGGTGAAGGAGAGAGCCACGTGGGGCCGGGACAAGGAGCACTGGCCACACTGTCCAGACAAAGGCAGAGGAGGGTTCCGGGGTCAGCCCTGCCTGGGAGCCAGGGAGGGCCCGGGGTGGCACAGGTGGCAGAGAGATTAAAAAGCACGGCCCAGGCCGGGCGGGGGCTCACGCCTGTAATCCTAGCACTCTGGGAGGCGAGGCGGGCGGATTGCTCGAGGTGGGAGTTCGAAACCAGCCTGAGCAAGAGCGAGACCCCTCTCTACTATAAATAGAAAGAAATTAATTGCCAACTAATATATATAGAAAAATTAGCCGGGCATGGTGGCCATGCTGTAGTCCAGCTACTCGGGAGCTGAGGCAGGAGGATTGCTGGAGCCAGGAGTTTGAGGTTGCTGTGAGCCAGGCTGATGCCACGGCACTCACCTAGCCTGGGCAACAAAGCGAGACTCGTCTCAAAAAATAAAAATAAAATAAAGTAAAAACCGCGCCAGAGAACCGCGTGATGGAGCCGCCCGCTGGCCTAGGCGCAAGATAGAGGCCTGCGAGAACCCCCGTCACCCCTGACCCCTCTACTCTTCCTCCTCCAGCCACTGAGGCAGCTCCCGGCTGCGCTGGCGACATGGCCGACACCCCCAGAGATGCCGGGCACAAGCAGGCGCCCGCGCCACGGAACGAGAAGGCCCCCGTGGACTTCGGCTATGTGGGGATCGACTCCATCCTGGAGCAGATGCGCAGGAAGGCCATGAAGCAGGGCTTCGAGTTCAACATCATGGTGGTCGGTGAGTCCCCGTCCCGGAACCCGCGCGGGAACCTGCCTGGGCACAGCTCCTGGGCTCAGTCTTCCCTCCTGCGAAATGGGCCACAGGCCTGGCTCAGTGACGCGTTGCCAGTGCCCGGGAGGGGGTCCACGGCCGCCACGAGCTCCTCCGTGGGGCCTCTGCCCTCACATCAGGGGCCCCTGAGATAACTAGTTAAGCCCGGGCGGGTCCCCCGTGAGTGCAGCTCTGCGACCAGTGACATCGCCTTGTGCTTGGACTTCTGTGGAAGCTTCTCCCAAGCTCTGGCTCCAGCCTGGCTCCCCTGACACCCAGCAGGCCTGGCTGGACACCCCAGGAAGAGGGGCCACGTGACTTCAACACCCACCCCCCTCCGTGGCCCTGGAGAGCTGGAGGTCCCCAGGGGGGTGGTCCTCGATCAGTTGGAACCAGACAGGGCGAGGGGGCCGGGCTGGGGTGTGCAGGGGGCCGCCTCTTCTTGCCGAAGCCCCTCCAGCCCCATTCAGCCCTCACAGTAACCCTGGGAGGGCCGGGCACTCCGTTTTCCAGGTGGACGAGGTCCCTTGGTTCACAAGGGCAGAGGGAGGCAGAGGCACTGTTTTGACTCCCCAGACTGTGCTCTGCCCCCTGCTCTAGGGAGGGTCTGGGGCGGGCTCCACGCAGCCCAAACCCTCAGCAGAGGTGAGCCCGGCCTCCTTCTCCGCGTGGCGGCTGGGCAGCCGTGAGCCAGGCCTGTTTCCCCAACCTCCGCCAGCTGTGCGCGTCCTTCCCGCCCAGCTCTGCGGGTGCAATCGTGCACCTGCCTGGCTAGAGGCTTGCTTTCCTCCTCTGTGCCGCCCTGGACTCGGGCTCCTGGGGCGTCTTGGTGTCCTCTAGCTGCTTCGTGTGTGGCCTCTCGGGCTTGGAGTCCGTGACCGGCTTGACCGCTCATAGCCCACCACGCTCCGGTCGTCTGGACGCTGGCGGCTCGCTTTGTGGGAGGGCGCAGGCCATGGCCAGGCCGTGACTCGCCCGTGTGGGCCAGACAGGGTGGGAAGGACCAGGGGACCTCTAGGCCTGGTGTGTGGCCCAGGCCCCTTCTGGAGCTTTGGCCAGGAGGAGGGGGAGAGCTGGCCTGGCCGCCCCCGCTGCCTCCCGCAGGCTCCTGCTGAGCCCCCCGGAGGCCTTCCTGGAAAACTCAGGGGCACGAGGGCGTCTGACTCCTCCCAGGCCCAAGGGTGCGGCTGGCCCGGCACTGGAGCCTGGCCGTGTGGGTTTGGAGGGTGAAGGCCCCAGGCGCGGCCTGCCTGGCGGGCACCGCGGGATGTTACTGGGCACCGCCGGGTGGGGCGGAGGGGCCGCGTGCAGGCCCTGCTGGCCCCCTCTGCAGAGCCCACCGACCGGCCCTGTTCCTTCCCCAGGGCAGAGCGGCTTGGGGAAATCCACCTTAATCAACACCCTCTTCAAATCCAAGATCAGCCGGAAGTCGGTGCAGCCCACCTCGGAGGAGCGCATCCCCAAGACCATCGAAATCAAGTCCATCACGCACGGTCAGCGGCCGCGGCTGGCGGGGCGCAGAGACGCCCCTTCCTTCCTGGAGCGCGGGTGTGAGGGTGCCCGGGTCGGGCTGGCCCAGGTCTCCTAGCGGGGGAGGGGGGGACCCACTGTGTCCCGCCCCCCGGGAACGTTGGGGCTCCGGGCGGACCTGCCAGGGCGAGGGGTCGGGGTGCTCCGGGCTCCCGTGGGGCCGTCACACTGGCTCCCACAGACACCCGAGTTTTCCACCAAAAGCCGCGGGCGGGCACCAGGCTCACCTCTCCAGCCTCCGTGGGAGCCGGTCTCGGGAGGCTGTCTCTCCGGCGTCTCCCTGCGGCCACTGCAGCCCTCCCGGGGGCACCCCAGGCCTGTGGGGTTCAGAGTGTCTGGGCGGGTCCTCGGCCCCTGACTCGGTGGCGTGGTTCTGCAGACATCGAGGAGAAGGGCGTCCGCATGAAGCTGACGGTGATCGACACGCCGGGTTTCGGGGACCACATCAACAACGAGAACTGGTAGGCTCCGGGCCGCGGGCGGGGGGCCCTCCCCCAGGAGGAGGAGCACTGCGGGGCCCTGCTCACACCCAGAGTCGGCGCGGGGGTGGGGGTGGGGAGGACTCCCCGGCCCGGGGGCTGCAGGGGCCTGACGTGCTGCTGAAGCCACGTGGGTTGAGGGTCAGAGAATTCTGGACCAGAGCAGAGTTACCCCTGCCCCTCCCCCACCCGCCCCGGAGGTCAAAGGCCAGCCCGGGAGGCTGGTTCCGGAGACCTAAGATGAGGCTGTGGCGTCTCCGCTCAGAAATCCAGCCCTCCCGGGTGGTGCATGGGACCCACCAGGGGGCCGGGTGGGAGGGTGTCCCATCCGTGCGAGGGCTGACCCGGCCCGCCCCCTGCAGCTGGCAGCCCATCATGAAGTTCATCAACGACCAGTACGAGAAGTACCTGCAGGAGGAGGTCAACATCAACCGGAAGAAGCGCATCCCGGACACGCGTGTCCACTGCTGCCTCTACTTCATCCCCGCCACCGGCCACTCGTACGTCCCTGCTGCGTCCCCTGTCCGGTGGTGGGTGGGTCCATCCTGGGCTCCATCTCAGAGCTGTCTGCCCTGCCCGAGCACAGAGGGACCGAGTCGGGGGCTGTGAAGTGGCCGGCCTGCCGTGCGTGCCCCGGGGGCCTTGCTCTGACCTGCGCGCAGTGTGGCTTCCTCCCCGCGTCCCCGCCTTTCAGCCTGTGCCTGGGGGAGCCGAGGACCAGGCCGGCCCTGGGCTGTTCCAGGACTCAGAGGCCTGCGCCTCGGCCCGCCCTGCTGCTCAGGCCAGACCTCAGCCGGCCCCGGCAGGGGGATTGGGACCCTGCAGCCGTTGCCCTTAAAGTCACCTGACCCTCGTGATGGGGCCTTGCCTCACGACGGGAGCCCCAGGAGGGATCAAGGTGTTCGTAGGCGAGAGGGAACGGCACCGTCCCAGTGGGGCTGGACCAGGGCTGCTGGGGGCCGAGGCCCCTTTCCTGCTGCCCGTGCCGTCCGCACCTGCAGATGCACCCGGACGGAGGGCAGCAAGGCCGGGCAGCCACGGCGCCCTGGCAGTGGCCCTGTCCACGGCAGCTGGTGTTGAGGTGCCCCCAGCGCCCGGTCCTGTGGGGCAGGGGCGGCTTTTCACCATTTTTGCTTAAGCGGCTGCCTGGAGCCCGCCTCTCCCCAGGCCGAGTCTGTGCCAGCCTATATTGCTGTCGGGGCTCTGCTCCAGCGGAGGGGTGCCCTGTTCAGGGGCCCTGCTGCCCCTGCCTGCCACTCTGTCCTTGCATCTCTGGCCCCAGGCTCACCCCTGGCAGCCAGCCTGTCACAGGGGCAGCCAAGCCTGCCTCTGCCCTCCCCATCAAAGCCCCATACGCAGTGGGACAGCCATCTGAGCCCCTGTGGGCACGTGTTGGGGACAGTGGGGAACTGGGACCTCACAGCTAAGGGTGCTCAGAGTTGGCCACCCTCCCCCCAGCCCTCCTGCCATGTGCAGGGGTGCTGCTCATGTCTGGGGCCTGCCTGTCCCCTTCCCTCTGTCCCTCCCTCACTGCTCCGCTGGGCTCAGCCCAGGGCCTCGCCAGCACAGGCCCCCTCGTGAGCCCCGAGCTGCCCCTGCCTTGTGGGGACCCTCCCTCGTTTCCCCGTTTCCCGCCAAGCCCAGTGCCATCCCACCGTCTGTTGCAGGCTCAGGCCCCTGGACATTGAGTTCATGAAGCGCCTGAGCAAGGTGGTCAACATCGTCCCAGTCATCGCCAAGGCCGACACGCTGACCCTGGAGGAGAGGGTCTACTTCAAACAGCGGGTAGGGCTCGGGTGGCCTGGACAAGCTGTGGGCCGGGCAGGGCCACGCAGCCCCGGGGGCACGGCCGGTCGCTCTGCACAGGCTGGTGGGTGCTGGGGGTGGTCCCGGGAGGCCCAGCTCCCCTCGACTCTCCGTGAGCCTCCCCTGAGGTCTGCTCTCGCACAGCCTCCCAGCCGCAGGGTCTGGGGTTGGGGAAGAGCAGACCAGGCGGGCGGCGACCCTCCCTGGCTGCGGAGGGGCGTCAGGCACCACCCGCCTGGTCCTTACTAGATGCAAGAGAAACCCCAAAGGGACGGTCTCTGCAGGGGGCGAGTGGCTGCTTCTCCTCTGCCGAAGTCCGAGGCTGCTGCCGGCGGGTGGGAGGGGTGTCTGGGCAGGAGGGCGAGCCCCGGGCAGCTTCTTCCCAGGGGTGGCTCGTCAGACCCGCCTGGGGAACGCTTAAGCGCAGAGGTGCCTGGGCTTCCACAGACACGCCCCGAGCCACCTGCACGAGCTCAGCCCCCAGCCCCGGGCCAGGCGCCAGGGATTTCCCAGCATGCCTAGGGAAGGACTGTCCACTGCACAGTGAGGGGCGGGAGCGAGGAGCCCCGGGAGGCTCGGCTCTGTGCCCGGGCAGACGGGCCGCTGTCGCTGGGCTGCGCCCGGGTGCAGGTAGTTTACACGGCAGGTGCGCGCTGGGCTGCAGGAGGGCTGGGGGCTGCACCCGGGGGGTTTCAGGAGGGGAGGGCTTGGCAGCCCTGAGCTATATTTCCTTGCGGGTGTGAGGAGCTGGGGAAGGAGCACAGGAGCGGGCCGGGGGCCGGGAGCCCTCAGGACCTGCGGCGTTGCTCACCGAGGCGGGTCTGCAGCTGACCCCTCCCCTCGGGAGGCGCAGGAATGGGGGACTACCAGAGTCACAGCCCCAGAGTCCCCCCCTGACCTCAGCCTCGTGGTGTGGAGGTCACCTGTTGGGCAGATTCCAGTGGGTGGGCAGAGCCAGCCTCGGGGACATGCCACCTCTGTCTCCCTCCACAGATCACCGCGGACCTGCTGTCCAACGGCATCGACGTGTACCCCCAGAAGGAGTTCGACGAAGACTCAGAGGACCGGATGGTGAACGAGAAGTTCCGGGTGAGTGACCGCACCGGGACCCGCTCCCGGGACCCTCGATTCCTGCTGGAGGGCCTGGCGGGGTGGGGGTCCCGCCCTGTCTAGGGGCTTTGAGGGACGTGGGGGGAGGGGGCCCAGGTGTCCACACCGGCCCTCTCAGGCCAAGGTCTCTGGCCGGGGGCTCAGGGCAGCCCAGGGTGGGGGGACGGGCCTTTCCACACACGTGCCCAATGCCACCACCGCCCTTCCCAGGAGATGATCCCGTTCGCTGTGGTGGGCAGTGACCACGAGTACCAGGTCAACGGCAAGCGGATCCTGGGGAGGAAGACCAAATGGGGCACCATCGAAGGTACTGCCGAGCCGGCCCGGTGCAGCCAGCGGGAGACAGGGTCATAACCGTGGACCCAGAGCCCTGGGAACCTCGGCTCTTGCATTGCCCCGCCCAGTGGGAGGGGGCACGTGGCTTGTCCAGGGGCCTCATCCCAGTGTCCCGTGGGTCAGGAAGATATCCGGGGAGGTGGGTGCCGGCTGTTTCTCAGGCAGCTGTGTGACCCCGGACAACTCGCCCAACATCTCTGGGCCTAGGTCTGTCCAGCTCTGGGAACCAGACGGACCCTCGGACCTGCCCCCTGCAGAAGTCCCCAGGACCCCCACGCCGCAGTGTCCTGTGGCTGCTGTAACGAATGACACAAACTGGGGGCTTAAAACTGCAGACGTTTGCTCTCCCAGCCCCTGAAATCGGGGCGTCAGTGGCAGGCGGTTCCCTACCGGAGGCCCTGGGGGAGAACCCTCCCCGGCCTGTCTCCTCCGGGTGGCTCCCGGCAGCCCTTGGCGTCCCTGGGCTGTAGACGCGTCGCTCCGATCTCTGTCTCATCGTCACAGGGCTGTCGTCCTTGTGTGTCTCTGTGTCTCCCTCTCTCCTTACGAGGACACCGTCATTGGACTTAGGGCCACCCTAGGTGGATGGTCCCATCTGGAGATCCTTCATTAAGGCTTTCCACGAGCTCACAGCCGTGGGTGGCAGGGTTGGGGCTCAGATATGTTGGGCACAGTTTAACCCACGATGGTGTTGACACCCTGGGCGGGCGTTCTTGTACTCTGCCTCTCTGTTCCTTTCCTCCTCGACAGAACAGAGGGAAAGGGGAGTGCAACGTGGGAGGGAAGCCACGCTGTGAGAGCAGCTTGGCTAAAGAGCCCAGTAGGGGAGGGAGCGGGAAGCCGTGGCTCTGTGAGTTTGGGGTGAGTCTCTCAACCCTCCAGGCCTCTGTCTGCGCCATCCAGAGTGGCGGGTCTCTGCGCCAGGGCTCTAGTAAGTTGAGAGGATGTCCCACGGACCACTGGAGCTTTGGGCGAGCAATTGCTTTAAGAAACTGGTCATGGGCCGGGCGCGGCAGCTCACGCTTGTCATCCCAGCACTCTGGGAGGCCGAGGCAGGAGGATGGCTTGAGGCCGTGAGTTGGAGACCAGCCTGAGCAAGAGCGAGACCTCGTCTCTACTAAAAACAGAAAAATTAGCTGGGCGTGGAGGTGTGCACCTGTAGTCCCAGCTACTCGGGAGGCTGAGGCAGGAGGATCGCTTGAGCCCAGGAGTTTAAGGCTGCAGTGAGCTATAATGATGCCACTGCACTCTCGCTGGGTGACAGAGAGAGACCATGTCTCAAAAAAAAGGTTATGGTGACAGCTCCCAGGCAGGAAGCCCTCACAGAGCCGACTCAGATGAGGGTTATCCCATGGAAAAGTCCGAGCCAGCTCCCTGTAGGGTCGGCCCCCTCCTTGCAGGGAGGAGCTGCAGCCAGGCAGAAAAGCTGCCAGGGGTGCCAGAGCCCTGCAGTGGTCGCCCTGGGGTTAGGGGGAGGGCGTGGAGAACACGTGGGCCCCTCTCTCTTGGGGTCTGCCCCCTCCCTGCCGCGCCCCTGGCGGGACCTACACACGGGGGCTGGCAGGCTGGGTGCGGGCTGGGTGCGGGCTGGGTGCAGCCTGGTGTTTCCCAGCGTCTGTCTGCACGGTCAGGCTCTTCCCTGGGCCACTCCCCTTGGCCCCTCCTCTTCCAGTTCCTCTCTTCCTCTGCCCAAGGAAATCTGGCTGTTGAGGAACCTTTTTAAGAAAGGCACGTTTCCGAGGCCCGCGGGGGCGGGGCGGGGCGGCCCGAGGCTTGGCGGGCCTCTGCTGCCCCCTGGTGGCCATCCCGGTAAGGGACGCTGTCGGGGGGAAAAAGCTTTGCCAATTGTGGTTGTCACAGCACCAGTGGCTCACGTTAGGAGCAGTGGCCCCAGGGAACTGTAGGGACGGTTCCCACACCCCATGAGGACCCTGGCGACTTCCCCAGAACACCAGTAGGCTTTTAGACCAGGGACCTTGTAAATGGAAACCTGGCCGGAGAACCGCCCACTCAACTCACCTGGCAGGTGTGGCTGTGTGCACTGTCTCCCGGGACCTCTCCCATCCTTAGAGACCACCTGTAGTTAACCAGGAGGGAGGCAGGAGGTGGAAACTATACCTCCAACTCACCTTGTCCTGTCCTGTCCCCGAGGGGTGGGTGACATCATCATCCCCATTCTGCAGATGGGGAAACTGAGTGTCAGAGAGATGCCAGGATGCAGAGATCACACCCTCGAACTGTGAGCTGCGAGAGCTCGGTCCTTCCTGCCAGCCCTCGCCGCCGCGCAAAGCTAGATGAGAATGTGGGTCCGCCGGCGGCAGGGTCTGGTGTGGACACAGCTGGGGGGGGGGTTGGCGTGTTGGGGAGGCCCAGGCAGGAGGTGACCAGCACAGAACCGAGAGCTGGGTGGGGTGGAGGCAGGTGGGCTTTGCGTGGCCTGGCCCTGCCTGCAGGCTTGTCCAGCGAAAACCCGACCTTTCAACTCTGAGAAGAGCCACGTGGCTCCGTGACGGGGCGGCCGGGAGCCAGGTGTGTGGGTTCCGAGTGCTGCTGTGGCCTCGGAGCTCTGGAGCCTGGGCAGACACCTCCTGCGCCCTCCAAGCCCCCCTTTCATAAGACGACAAAAGCGGGTTTGTTGGCTGGGCACGGTGGCTCACGCCTGTAATCCCAGCACTCTGGGAGGCCGAGGCGGGCGGATTGCTGGAGGTCAGGAGTTCTAAACCAGCCTGAGCAAGAGCGAGACCCCGTCTCTACTATAAATAGAAAGAAATTAATTGGCCGACTAATACATATAGAAAAAATTAGCCAGGCACAGTGGCACATGCCTGTAGTCCCAGCTACTCGGGAGGCTGAGGCAGGAGGATCGCTTGAGCCCAGGAGTCTGAGGTTGCTGTGAGCTAGGCTGACGCCACGGCACTCACTCTAGCCTGGGCAACAAAGTGAGACTCTGTCTCAAAAAAAAAAAAAAGCAGGGATGTGGTAGATACCTTGCAGGGCGTGTGCGGTGTGGACGGAGGGCACCTTGCAGAGTAGCTCCTGACACCTGCCTGTTCGCCTTCTCTGCCCCTGGCTAGAAGGTCCCGTGTTATAGGATAATTACGCAGACCTGGCGCTGTGTGGCCATAAGTTACAAATCACAGCAATAATGTGACCCTCTGCGATGGCCACCAGCGTGCACCTGTGGTGGACCCCCCACCACATCTTCCTGCGTCCCCTAGAAGTGACCGCTGTCCCGAGCTGGTGCCTGTCACACCCTTGGGTTCTTGTGTGTGTGTGACGTGTGCGCCTCCCTGAGCGTGCGGTGTCTGGTTGCTGGCTCCTGAGCTTGACGTGAACGTGGCCTGCAGAGCGTGGCCTCGTGCACGCATGTCTCCTGTGCGTGTGCCCTGAGCACAGGTGTGGTGGGCGGGCCGTGTGGGAGGACACCCAGGGGCCGCAGGTTGCTTTAAAAGCCCTGCTCCAGTCCCAGCCCCTACCCGTCCTCAGGGCTGTGACTTCTGGGGCGTCCCGCTCTTCCCGGGAGCCTCCCTGGTCACCCCGGTGGTGCAGGGGCCCCACTTTCCTCACTGTGGCTCTCCCACGCTCTCTGCTTGGTCGCGTGCCACCTCCCTGCTAGCCTGGAGCCTTCTGGAGAGCAGGAGCTGGGGCTGTGTGGTCACCCCAGTTCTCACCTGCAGGGCAGGTGACTCCCCCCTCCCCGCCCCCACCCACCGGGCTGTCCTGGAAGCCACTCTCAGCACCAGCATCAGGGGCGGGAGGGCTGGGTGGGGACCAGGGAAGGGCCTGGGACACTGAACCTCTGCTGTCTCCTCTCCTCAGTGGAAAACACCACACACTGTGAGTTCGCCTACCTGCGGGACCTGCTCATCAGGTGAGACGCGGGGCCTCGCGGTTCTGGGCGCAGGAGCTGACAGTCTGTGCCCCTGAAGGCCCCCGAGAGGGGCCGATGGCCGTGTTAGGGGCTGGGGGGGGGTCAGAGCCCCTGGGCAGAGCGGCCGCGTCCTGCCCTCTGCCTGCCCTGCCCTCTGGAAGACCTCAGAACCCATTTTCTGAATTAAAAAATAAAAAAACCCACGTGGAAATAAGAGGCGAAAACCTTTTTTTAGCCCACGTGAGGTCACCTGGGTGGCCAGGCTGTGCTCTGACCCACCGAGGCCTGGGCCTGTTGGTCAGCAGGTGGCTACTGAGGCCCTGGCAGGTGGCAGGGGCGTCCTCCGCTCCGTCCCAGCAGCCCGTGACCCCGGCCCCTTTGACCTGGCCGAGGCTTCTCCTTGGCTCCTCGGGCCCAGGCAGGGAGGGGACAGCCCCGGTAGAGAGGAGCAGGGCGGCCCCGGAGCAGCGCAGAGGGTGGGGCCTCCTGCCGGTGCCAGGGCTCCCGGCCTCTCAGCCTGCGGGGTGCACGCTGGGAGTGACGGCAAGAGAAGGGGCCTCCAGGGTGGCCGGGGGAGGGGGAGTGACACCAGCCACGCCCCATCTCGGAGAGCCTGGGCCTTGCAACCCCCATTCCTTGTCTTCCCTCTTGAGCCCCCAGGGAGGGAGAGTCTGAGCCCAGGACTTTCTTTCCTGGGGGGCAGTGAGGACCCGAAAAGGGAGACCTGTAGCTAGAACACGTGTGCCCCGGGAGACCGACCCTTGCCCGTCACCTGTGCCCGGGCCTGGGGGAGCCGCCCGGCCATGGCGGGGGCTGGGGGGCTGGGCAGGGCAGCTGTCCCTGGCCCCCGTGCTGACCCGTCCCCCCCCCCAGGACGCACATGCAGAACATCAAAGACATCACCAGCAGCATCCACTTCGAGGCCTACCGCGTGAAGCGCCTCAACGAGGGCAACAGCGCCATGTCCAACGGCGTCGAGGAGAAGGAGCCGGAAGCCCAGGAGATGTAGACGCCCCCCGCCCCGCCCCTGCCCCCGGGGTCCTCCTGCCCACCCCACTCCCCGGCCTGCCCATTGCCCCATTTTATTTTATATCATTTTGTCCGTTTGTCACCGTTCTCCGCCCCTCTGACACGCGGCCACGCAACAAGAGAAGGTGTGTCCTCCAGAGCGCGTCTGTCTTTGGCCGGCCGGTGCGGCCGCGGGCTGGGCGGCCTCCCTGGCCCTGCGGTCTGGGGGCAGCTGGACTGTAGCCGAAGGAGGGGCACGAGGACCCCCTGAATCCACACGGCCCTCCGTCCCTCTCGGCCACGGCCCCCAGGGCGTGCCCAGGGGAGGGTGGAGCCGGCCGGGTGGACCGGGACCCCCCCACAGCCCCCAGCTCCACGGGCGATCACCCAGACCACGTAACTCAGAGAGCGCCTGCCCCTACCCTGCTCCCAGGGGAGGCCAGAGAATCCCACAACCTCAGTTGCCGCCTGCGTAGACCCGGCGCGGCCCCTTGGCAGCCGCCCGCCCGTGAGCCCGTCCTGGGGCAGAAAGTGCCTTTATCGCAGCCGTCCACGCGAGCCGCTTGAGCCGGACAGGCCGGGTCGGAACGAGGGAGGCGTGTGTGTGTCTGCACCTCCCGCGTCCCACCGCCGTCTCTACCTCCCGCGGGGCTGCGGGGGCTGCTGGCGTGCTGGGACCCGACTGAGGACGAAAGGGAAGGGAAAACGGTGCGCCCACGCCACCCCTGATTTTTGGGGAGGTCCAAGCAAGTGAATCTGGTGGAGGAGCTGAGGGAGGAAGCCGTGGAAGGTGCCGGAAGGAAGGTTGGGGGTGGGGGCATGTGGGCCGTGGCTTGGGGCCGAAGTGGCCCCAGTGCCCACACTGCCCTCCTGACTGGGGAAGGGTGTGTGTGTGTCCGTCTGTCTGTCCAGTCTGGTTTGGCCCCAGACTGGGCGATGGTTCCCCTGAGCTCAGGTGGCCCCTGCAGCACTCACCCCTGCGTGGCTCTGGCCTTGGTGGCCTGTGCACCTGGGGAGGTGGGGGCCGGGTGAGCCTGGGCCCCTGCACCCAGGAGCCCAAGAAGGTGAGACGAGGGGTCGGTGTGCACAGCCCTCAGCCCAGCTGCTGAGCACAGCCGGCCCCCTCTCCCTCTGTCCCCAGCAGGGGACCGGCAGGGTGTCATGGCGTGCACAGCTGGGCAGAGCCTTTTCCTGCCCTTCCTGTCTTGCTCCCGCGGAGGGGGAGGGGCCGGGCAGGAGTCCACACAGGTGCAGCACCTGCCTGCAGGCACCAGGCTGGCTTCCTGTGGCCCAGAGGGGTGGGACAGGAGCCATGGTGCAGGCTTGAGGGGCGTGCACGTGTGTGGGGGGCCGCTGTGTTGAGCGTCTTGCCCCCTCCCCACCTAAGATAGGAAAGGCCCCCACCAAACCCTTCAGCGGGATAGTTTACTTGCCAACTTGCCACGTTTTTGCCAAAACCAAGATTCAAAGGAAGTGTCCATCTCCGGTGCCAGGGCCCGGCCGCGGGGCGGCGGGTGGCAGCGTCCCGCCCGGCTGGCTTCGCTTTCCCTCTCTGTGCCGGACCTGGGGACCCGTTAGCTCCCTCAGGCTCTGTTCCGCAACGGCCTTCTGCTCGGTGCCTCCCGAGAAAATCGTCTCTTTTTGTATAAATGACTAAGTGTTGAAAGTGTATTTCCTGAAATAAATGTCTCAAATGCAAACCAGAGTGAGGGTCTTTTCTGCCCCGTGGAGATTTGGCCTCGGGACCAGGTGGGGTCAGTTGCAGGCAGCGGCGAAGCGGTCAGGGCAGGGTGGATCTTGAATTAATTCATGCTCCCGAGAATTGACACAAAAACAAGGACTCCCTGGGAATTTATGGCCCCAGGGCGTTTCTTAGACAGAGCACTTGCACAGCGAGATGACACCGAGTGATGGAGATGACACCCAGTAGTGATCGTTGCGGAGTCATTTAGTCTACCTGGGGGTCAGGGGGAGGTTTCAGACACTTGAGACACACTCACTGGTGCAGAATACAGAAGAGAGAATAGCAGATCTTTGCGTTTCCATTAAAGGCAGGTCTGAGGGGCTTCCTCAGAGACTGCCGCCTCTCGTTAGTGTGGCCTTGAAAATAAGTTTCTCTCTTGCTTTTTTTTTTTTCCCCCTGAGAGACAGGGTCTTGCTCTGTCACCCAAGCTAGAGTGCCGTGGCGTCATCACAGCAACCTCTAACTCCTGGGCACAAAGGATCCTCCTGCCCCAGCCTCCCGGGTAGCTGGGACTCCAGGTGTGCACCACCACAACGCCTGGCTAATTTTTTCTGTTTTTAGTAGAGACGGGGGTCTCGCTCTTGCTCAGGCTGGCCTCGAACTCCTGAGCTCAAGATCAAGAGGTCCTCCCACCCCAGCCTCCCGGAGTGCTGGGGTTACAAGTGTGAGCCGCAGCGCCCGGCCCCCACTTTTTCCTTTTTTGGAATTTAAATCTATTAGGTCAAACCCCATGAGCTGGTGAGTATTTGACATTTGTTTGATGCCAACGTAACTCGTTCTGGGAGAACTTGGCCCCAGATGGACGAGAACCCGGGGCGTGGGCGAGCGAGCTTTGCTTTCACACGCACATGGGAAGAGGCCAGGGCGGCTGTGGACCGGCGCCCTGTGCAGAGGTGGGTCACCTGGGTTCCTTCTCCCACGGGTCCTCGTTTCCTGCAGATGCCGGAACGGACGGCCCTAACCTGTGCGGCTTAAAACAGCAGAAATTTATGCCCACAGTCCTGGAGGCCAGACGTCCGAGACCGGGTGGCCTCGGGGCCCTGCTCCTCCCAAAGGCTCCCGGGAGGACCCTTCCTGGCCCCTGGAGGGCCCCAGACTCTGCCTCCATCTGTTCATGATCTCACCTTTTCTGTCTCTACAAGGACGTTCTGTTAGGATTTAAGGCCACCTTAATTCAGGTGGATGTTATTTAGGTCTTTAATGACATCGGCAAAGGCTCTATTTCCAAATCGGGTTGCATTCTGAGGTCCGAGTGGACGTGAGTTTGTTGTGGGGGACGCGGTTCAGCCCCCCCACTCCCCCTTCCCCAGGTCCACACGGCCGCAGAGGTGGAAATGGGGAAAGCCCCGACGTGGGACTCGGGAGGTCTGGGTTCCAGGCTCACCCTGCCACCAACAAGCTGGGGGCCTTTGGGGCGTCTCGACCTCTCTGGGCTTCCCCTGGCTCAGTTGACCATCCCGGCTGCTCCAGATTTTGGAGAAGGCAAGTGGCTTTTGCCTCCAAATGGGCCAGTGGGCACTGGCCCTGTGCAGCCCCTACTTTGGGATTCTGAGTTGTGTCACTGGCTATTGCCGTGGGCGCAGGCAGGATGAGAGGGGTGGCACTGGGGGGGAGTTGCCAGCCTGGAGCCCGCCTCCCTGGGGCCCTCCTGACTCTGAGGGCTCAGCCCCACCCCACCTTGGAGCTCCCCTTCCTCCAGACTGACTGTCCCCACTTTGGCCCCTGCTGTCCATCCCTGGGGTATAGGGAGCCTGGACCTCCTCACCGCCACCCTCTCTGAGCGAGGCCCTGGGAGTCCAGCTCCTCCTCACTCGGACCAACGTGGCCGGCCCAGGGGCCTCCTGTCCCCATCCCACATCCAGCCGGCTCCCTCACCCTTACACCGTGGTCATCATTGACCAGACTGACCGTCACCTCTGCCCAGCCACCCTGCACCTCCCATCCCAGTGTTGGGGGGACGCCCCACCCCACCAGGCAGATCTGCTGTGGAAGCAGGTGGCCAGCCACCCCAGTTTGCCTGAAAGTGAGGGATGTCCAAGGACAAGGGAGTTTCAGTGCTAAAACCAGGGACGTCCCGGGCAAAGTGGGCAAGTTGGTCGCCCTGTGTAGGACCTTCACAGCACTCTGCCCCTTCCTTCTCCCACCTCTGGGAGCCCTGACCTCCTCATGCCCATTCGGCCCAACAGGCTCTGTAAGGGGTCATGTGATCCGGGCCGGGCTGTCGTCAAGGGGGGGCCAGCCTCGTGCACCTGCCGGGGAGCAGTGAGGCTCGTGGGGGCCGCGGAGCCCTGTGTCCTTGCCTCCTTCCCTGTTCTGGGCCACAGGGTTTGAAGCCAGAAAAATAAAATCGAAATGCAGCCTTTGGGCCTTTCCAGACCAGCCTTGTGCGAGTCCTGCGGCCCGGGGAGCTCAGGCCGGGCTCTGCGGTGGGTGGGCTGCACCTGCACGCTCCTGGGCAGGGAGCCAGGTGGGAATCGGGGACCTGCTAGGAGAGGGCCACACTTGGGCCTCCTTTTGGGTCTGTATTTATGGACGTCTCTCCTCCCATGTTTTACACACTACTCTCCGGCTGTAAAAGTAGCGTGTACACTTGTGGAAATGCCAGAAAAATACCCCATGAAGAAAATCAAAAGTCCCCACAATGCTGCCCCTGGGGTATTGGTCTCTGGTCCCCTCCTGGTGCAGTGTCATTGTCATTTTCATAACGGAGAAGCAGCGGTCCCCCCTGTGCACGGCTTTGCATCCTGCTGGGTCTGGTTTTGGGGGTACTGGGGTGCTGGGGGCTTCCCAGGAGGCCTGGGAGGGGAGGCAGGCGGGCGCTGGCTGGAAGGGGGTGTGGAATGGGTGCAGAGGTCTGGGCCAGGCCCCAGCGTGTCCGCCTGCTCCCGCTCACGCCCAGCAGGGAGCCCGGGCGAGGCTGTCCTGGCGGGGTCCTGGGAGCAGGCTTCAGAGGAGAGCGCCCCTCCCCCGCTCGCCCCTCCCCCTCCCCGTGGAAGCCTCTCCTGTCCTTCCTTCCGCGGGGTTGGGCCAGCTCTGGTGTCCCAGCGGTGGGGGTCTGTGCAGGGCTCGGGCTCATTTCCTGTGTTGGAGCCGGAATGCCTTCCAGATGTTCACGCTGCCTGAAGGCGTGGCCGTGAGGGGCGGGAGAAGCAGCTGTCGGGGATGCCGCCTGGCGCCCGCACTCGGCACACGGCAGTCGCTGACTACAGGGTCCCCTGTGAGGGGCCAGGCCGGCCCACCAGTCTCCCCTCGGAGGACATCCGAGAAACAGGGAAAGGCAAGGACAGCAACGCGCACGGAAACCCACGGCTGCCGGCAACCTGCTTACGTGTGGGAGGTAAAAACAGTTTTTTTAATGCATGTGCAAACATTTGCTATTTTTGGTTTTCCAAAATGAAGGTCGGTGGTGCATTTCCTTTGGTAACCTGCGTTGATACTATCAATGAGCATTTTGTTTGTGAAGACAGGATTTTAATAGCTATACAGTGCTCCATGGTGTAAACATATCTTATTCAATGAAATGGATTTCTAAGTTTTTGCTCTTGTCACCAGGCTGCAGTCAGAATCCTGGTGGGGGTCGGTGTGGCCAATGGCCGAGCCGTCCCTGTGTCCCCTGCGGGAGGAGAGAGGTGCCTGGTGCTTGCAAGCTCGCTTGGGAGGAGCAGGAAGCAACGGGAATCACGCAGAAGCCCGCGCCGGGAGGGCCTCTCGTCGACCAAGAGATGAGAGGAGGCGAAGGACTGGTGTCCCCGCGTCCCCGCGTCCCCCCTTCCTTGCCGTCCCGTCTGTGGTCTGCACTCGGGCAGAGCGTGCTTTCGAGGTCTTGCCGAGCCTCAGAGTCACACAGGCGAGGGGCCCACAGAGCTGGGAGGGCCGGGGCGCAGCCATTCCTCCGGCCCCAGTACGGAAATGCCCGTGTTCCGGCACCTTCCCACGCAGACTCGGTCGTGTGCTTGGCATCTCTTGGATTTGGGTCCGTGTGAAAGACACCAGGGGGGTCCCCCCTCGTAGACCAGAGTTCAGAGCAGGGTGGGCCAGGGGAGGGGGGCCGAACGCAGACACAAGAGCCCCTGGGCACTGCTGGGGGTCCCCCCCTTGTAGACCAGAGTTCAGAGCAGGGTGGGCCAGGGCACGGGGGCCGAACGCAGACGCCAAGAGCCCCTGGGCACTGCTGGGGGTCCCCCCTCGTAGACCAGAGTTCAGAGCAGGGTGGGCCAGGGGACCGGGGCCGAACGCAGACACAAGAGCCCCTGGGCGCTGCTGGGGGTCCCCCCTCGTAGACCAGAGTTCAGAGCAGGGTGGGCCAGGGGACCGGGGCCGAACGCAGACACAAGAGCCCCTGGGCACTGCTGGGGGTTCCCCCCTTGTAGACCAGAGTTCAGAGCAGGGTGGGCCAGGGCACGGGGGCCGAACGCAGACGCCAAGAGCCCCTGGGCACTGCTGGGGGTCAGCCCTCGTAGACCAGAGTTCAGAGCAGGGTGGGCCAGGGGACGGGGGCCGAACGCAGACACAAGAGCCCCTGAGCATTTTTGGGGGTCCCCCCTGGGCACAGGGGACCCAGCACAGTGGAGAGATGTGGGATCGGGAGCCCAGGGCCTGGGCTGGAGGCTTCGCGTCTGCCCCTCGCCCTGGGGCCTGGAGCAGCTGGCTGAGCCTCAGTGAGCTCGTGTGACACACAGGGATTACGACCACATGGGTCACATTCGACGCCGGGGAGAGGCCAGAGGGAACCTCAGGCAGGATTCATTCCGCCCCAGCCCAGAGCTGCGTGAGCCAGCGCCTCCCGCTCCGGGGCCTGCCTCCGTGGTCGCATTTTCTCCTCCCGACAGCCCTGAAAGGTGGGCCCTGCCGCCTCCCTTTCCCACTCTGGCTGAGCCTTGGTTGATGTTTGTCCCCAGCCTGGGCCCTGGGCCCCGCACCCTCTGCCTCACTCTCCCAGCAGGGCTACGTGGCATT